ACATCTCGTTTCTGTCAAAAGCAAGGAGGAAACGAATTTTTAGCAGGCAAAATCTGCATGCATCAAATTAACATGTTAAAAATTTTAATTTTGGCAAGTAAAATATAATTTGTAATACATGCTTCTCTTTTAAGGACCTAGCTTAGTTTTAATTGAGTCGTTGTTGTTTTATTCTGCTTTCAATATAGCATTTGAAATTCTATACTGCTAAATAGTTTAGCGTACTAAAAAATCTCATATACATTCTATTGAATTCAAATCCGGCGGCTGGGGGCTTGTATGCGACTGGGGCTCTCATATTATATAGCATCCAGAGCTTCAAAACTTCAGCAGTTGCCCTGGAACTTATTGAGATAAATTATCATTATCAAAATTATATCAAGCTCAGCGACTATAATTTACCTTTAAAATGTAAACACGAGTCATTTTGTTCCACATGAACTCAATGAATTCCAAACCTTGCTGCTTCTCATATACCCTAAAGCATTATACCACTTCTGTACTACTTTAAGGCTGACATTAGATTCTTTTGAGATCTGTTCCAGGTTTTATCTGAACAAGTTCCGGTTCTGGCAAACAGAAAATTCACCAGAAATCGAGCTATCAGTGTCTATGGTTCGAGAGTGGCCGAACGGACAAAACGGCTGAGCACTGGTTCAATTCCGGGCGAATGGCCCAGCTGCATGAAAGTTCTTGCGATTTGTCCCATGCGTAACGTAAATACGAGCCTGTTTCCTTTGCAGAGACATTTAAGAAGGCATCCCTTCCCGTAGGGAGACAGATAGCCTTACGTGCACCGTTTTAATCTGCTGTTGTTGCTGTGGCTAATATCACTTCTCTGACGTAATTAGAAAAGCTCCCGAATTTTATCTTATTAAGGAGTACAAGATTGCATATGTCGTTGGCATAAGCCTTGAGCACCATATAGGTTTGGTTTGGCTTGATTTAGTTGATTATAGCAAAGTACCCAACGACAATTTGCCTAAGTTGAGGGATGCCTTCGTGGAGGACATTTTAGGGTAACTGGCTCGTATACACGTTATACATAAAGTAACGACGAAAAGCTCCAAGCATCTAGCTCGTTCGCGGGATTCGAACCTTAGACCCAACTACCAGTGTTCAGCGATTTTACGGCTCGGCCGCTGAGCACCATTAGGTAATAGTACGGCTTTGCCCAGTTCTACGCCAGTGTTGAAGAAGAGCACTCCAATGGGACGGGTCCGAAGACTTTCCACCTCTCTTTCCCTACCACCAAACCACTAGAAAAGGCAATCGGCTCGCCGTATGATTGAGTGACCCCATGCCGCACAAACGCTACACATTTACAAACATCCATGTCTTCTCCAGGATTCAAACCCGGGCTCTTCGGAAAGACAGCCAGCTTCACTAACCAGTATACCATCGGGGCGGCTCGTTTTAATTTAATAAATCTAATCTAATGTTATCAGTCTTTAGTGATCTTATATTTAATAGTCGTGCTGGGGGGAAATTAACGCAAACTTACTAAAGCAAACTTTTGAAAAGAGTTCATGTACTCACTTTAGTTGTAAGTTGCATTGAATAACATGTAGGAGAGATCTAAGATTAAATTTTAATTAATATAATAGCTCAAAGTAATGGCTTGAAAATCGAAATCATGATTCTTTTTCGTTGTATGACAACAAACAATGTTCTTTAGAAATATATATGCACCAGTTTAATACTTCCGGCAAGGTTTGCTTTGGTTTGGCTTATTTGATTACGGCAACTCGAAGGCTGTCTGCCTAAGGAAGAGATGCCCACATTACAGATGGGGGAAATCATAAAAACGCTCATACAAATAACCCTTTTCTGGGATTTGAACCTAGGTCGAACGATCAATGTTCAGCGGCCTTATCCATTCTGCCATACTTCCAACAAAAAAAAGTTAATTTTTGTCATCATCTCTTTTCAGCTGTAAAGTTTCTTAGATTATTTAGTTGAATAAAAGAAGCACGAAATACAATGACACACCTTAAAAATTTTTATTGATAATACTTACTGAGAATACTTTTGTAAGAAAAATATATATTTAATTCAATGGTGGCCAATAGGCAATGTAGCTGCATATATCTTTCCAGAGAAAACTGTTTAAAGGCACTGTCCTACTATGAAAAAGTATTCTAGATGTGTTATGCATATACAGCAACAAACTGTAGTGTAATTTTATTTCTGCAAATGACGAAATACTTTTTATTAATTATTTTGTGATTTTAATTATAGTTCGAAAATCACTCATTGAGAGCACTATCGAAAGTGAAAAATTCCATTTTTTTTTTACATGCTACTTCCTTTATGTTATATAATAAAAAGCTTAAGACTTACGTAAAATAGCAAACAGAAACACGCATCATATTAGAAATGATACCACTGTGTGATACCTGTACCCCAGGAATTAAAATAACTACAAAATATAAAGCCGAATTCAAAACGATAACAAATGAGCGTTTTGCATAATCTATTAAACAAACAAGACAACTCGAGAGTTATCTATTTACCTCAGAATGAATGCTATCATAGGAATTTATTACTTTTCAAAGGAAACTAAGTCAGGTTAAACTTAAAGGAACCAGAGAAAAAAATCACATGGTGTTTATTGACCAGAAATGAACCCTGAATAAAGTATCAATGTACAGAGATTCCATTTGGTAACTGTTGGAAGTATAAAAAAAAAAAAAAAAATGGAGCATACTGACTATGAGACCGTGAAGTGCTGTATGTAATCATTCTGCATCTGGCGACATGCAAATTTTGTTATAAATAAGTTTAAAAAAAGGAAATAATCTGTATGAAATACAAAATTAATATTTTCACGTTAACCCATTCAGCCTTCGATATTTTGATACGCGCAGAAAAAGAAATTGCCTAGAAAACACATTCATAGGTGTTAAAAAATTCCCTTGCAATAATATATTAACAAGTTCCCACTTATGTTGTAGAAACAAAGTTATCGTGGCAAATGCCACCAATCAGGGCTCAAGGTAAAAATTAATAAAAATACAAATTTATATTATTGTTATAATTATTGTACATGGAATTTTTTAAAACAGTTTTTCTTTTTTGCATTTTTCACACTGGATTCTGAAACGTCCTCCACAAGTTTGCAGTTTACAACGCTGTTCGTGTCCATTTTTATGCATTGGCCAACATCCAATATTATCATACATTAACTCATGTACTGTAAGTACGGTACGTGGGGCTTGTCGTTTTACTGGAATGCGTTAATTCCTAGCACGGGAGATCCCTGACTGTGTCTGCGTCATCTTGATGGCGGGTTGACAGCGAACCTAGGAAACACTAAACTTTCTGTTACTGGCATAGTGAATTATAATGAAAGCAATTTCTACTACCGATAAAACAGACTTATGAAGAAGGTATACGTCACCAGCGTCACGTTACACAAGAGATAAACTATAACCCCTTTCATGCAGCCTAGTTGTTCTCTGGGGTTTTGTAGACTATGAAGATGTCATGGAAAGAATTAATTAACGTACTTAATTCCCTGTCAAGAACAGGGACAGAAAGGAATTAACAGCAGTAGTATTTTTTTCTTAAAAAAAGGAAGAGTAGTAAATAATATTAAACAGTACTAAAATAGATAATTTTTAATCAAATTTTTAAATCCATTTGAAAATAAGAGTTTCTACACGGACGCAAAGGTGATGTGGACTAGTCATTTATCTTCAGAATGTTTGTTAAGCTGAATATCTTCAGTACTGGGAAGCTTAAAAATATTTATTTTATTATCATCATCTGATAATTAAACATAAATTAAATATATTTACCGGCCTAATGGATGTCATCGACCTAAATTAATTACTAAAAATCAGAAAATTCGTATAGATTGCAGAAAGTGCCTACTTCATAAAAATTGAAAAACCTTGATGCGAGAGAATGTTTAAACATGTAGATTAAAGTAGATTCCGCTAAATTTCAGCATGACTGTCTGCCTTGAGGAATGCCTCTCTGAGGTAAACTTCCAAGCAGAATTAGCTTCAATCAAAAAGCACATAGGAAGAAAAGAGCAGAACATCCAACCCGCTTAAGTCAATAAAGAATCTCTAAGGAAACTTACACTAATAACTTTTCCACTGGGTCATTAATATAATATATAGCTTAAATATCTGTTAAAAGATTCACAATTTTACTGAAGAACAATTTGACTATGAACGGATGGATATTACTGGCTTCTAACCAGTTGCCCAATACTTAAAAAAGGATGTCGTAGGTAACATTTCTTCTGTTTTTCTCTGCATAAAAAAGGATTTAAATGTATATTCCTTCAGAAATAAAATTTGGAGTAAAATAGTAAATATACTAGCAGTCTTTTAAAACTATTCATAAAAAGAAAATTTTTTATGACGAATATTTCTTTTTGTTGTAATCACTTTTGAAAAAATAGTTAAGTCTATTTAAAACACAAAAGTATGAATCTGAAAGATGAATCCTTCAAAAAAATAAAATTATCTTTGGAAAGTTAGAATGTGCATAATTTAAATATTTAAACTGTGTATTTTTTTGACAAATATACATTGACAGCAATCAAACGCATTGCGAAATTCGCAATTTTTTTTAGAACGATCAGCAGCTCTATTTTTTCATGTGAGAGTGAAATCATCATACATGCAGCCAACTTTCAATATTCACAATTCTGACTATTTACGAGATAAGATGGTTTTATATATTCATCTTTAAAGTACTTGTGCGCTAAGTGATAGTCAGATTATAGGCATGTACAAATAATGATATCCTGAGAATACTCTTAAACAGTAAGTTACCCAACAACATACATCAGGAAGAAACTTAATAATTATAAATTTCTCAGAAGTACAGAAGTAGAAGAATTAGAATAAAGAAAATGAAACATTTTCAGGTCGCATGCAACATAGAGGACTGAACAGCAGTGCCATTCGTCCTGGTTAATAAAGGAACAAGTTAATGGTTAGTGTGAGGCGCATGAAAATGTGGGAAATGCCACTGACCTGAGTGAAATTGTCCTCCGTAGTTGACCGAACAGGGCGCCTGATCTTTCGTCCACATGAAGTATTTACAACTTTTCGGCCAAACACTATCGCGAACGATATTTTTGTCACTCAGCTCCCTACACAACTGCCCTAAAACAAGGATAAAGGCTTTGTTTGGATCCAGTCTCTCTTAACATCTTACAAAATCAATTAACGCTCACTAACATGCATAGGGCGAATGTTTATATCATTTACTCAGAATGCTACTCACTGAATAAGTGATGTGATAAAAGCCAATAAAAATAAAGAATACAGGACATAATTTATTTAAAAATTTCTGTCTCAAATAGCATTTTAATTTAAACAAAATACAGAATTGTAACATTTTAAAATGTCCCTTAATAACTGATAAGCCAAATTGAAAAGAAACATTGCAAAATCAAGATTTTAAGTATTTATTTAAATAAAACAAACACACAGTATAGTTTACAGTATTATTTCGAGATAATGTTTAAACAGAATCATAAGGCAGGGATAATAACTGATTTTTAATTATCGATGTCAATTGATATTTCATTATCAATTATATTTAGAATATTCAATTATATATACATTCTTACATAACCAAAAACTTAAATATACCTTCTATTAAAAATCGTACTTACATACTGTCGCAACCACCTTAGTAGGAGTCACAAAATTTTCAGAATGTGCAACCATGTGCATAAAAATTCTTTGGACAACCAGATTCCATCAGTCCCACAGCAAAGCAACAACGCTATTCTAGTACGAGCTTTTTGGTTGCCTTCCAAGTACCAACGATTTTTATAGACAAATCGTGATACTTTCTGCCTTAAACTCAATGTTAAAATATGTGCTTATGGAATCTGCCAGAATAAGAAGAAACTCAGGTGACATTTCTGCAGTAATATATAGTGATTTTGCTGCAAAATCTCTGTAGGGCATGATGATGAGATGCGTTTGGTAGATAGCTGGTGCGCAATGCCGAGATTATGCACTTTACTGATTATTTTCAGGAGAAAACAGATCGTCGATATGCACATAGGGAGAAGAAAAACGCAAAAAAATTACGGAAGGATTTCACGAAAAATGTACGTGTTTTATTTTTTAATACAGCATGTATTCCTTATTTAATGATTAACATTTGTATTTTAAATTGTTAAAGTGTCTTTTACTTTGATATGCTGATAATGTTTGCCTGCTTACGATAACTATCAATAGTTTGACAATCTTTCAAAACAAATTGCGAAAATCGGCAACTTGCATCTGATAAGTATCCTTTACCTTTTCATCTGCAGAAAACCGTCAGATTGTGGAAGGATGCTTGCGTTAATGCGTAAGTATCCTAAATTTTTTTATGGAAATAATAATTCCTCAAAATAAAAAAAAATAACAAACTATCGGCGAAATTATTCTAAAACGGCTTTCTAAAATTAATTGAATACAGGCCTTTATAAACTTTTCTAGAGGGATATTTTAGTACATAAACTTTTACAGGAAGAATGCTCGCGCAAGAATTTCATTATGGATGAACAATATTTAAATTTATCTAAGAAAATGTTATTTGAAATTTTACATCAGATAAAATGCAGCTAAATTATTTCTTAAAAAGAATTTTTTCTAAATAAATTAATTTCAAATGAATTTCTTACATAAAGAAAAAAGAGATTTATCTGTATAATAATATTATAACCTAAAAGTTCGCGTTTTCAAACATTTGCTTAAAATACTATGCTCAAGTTTTTTAAAAATTTATAATCTTTCATGAGACATATTTCTTTCTCAGTGAAATTTAGAATTAATATTTTAAAATTGTATTTTAAGGAACTATTTCAGAACTTAATCCTAGCAAAAAAGGACAATGCACAGAGTTTGGTTATCTTCCTAACTTCTTCGTATTTTTTTTTTTTTTTTTTGCAATAAAGTTAGTTTAATTTAAAAATGTTTTAGATAAAAACAGAATAAGTATGAGGGAAGTTAAAATATTATATATAATAACTGAGATAGAATTTATTTGTAATTTCTTAACTTCATGTTATAATCTTTCTGTTAATAGTTTTCGATTTTGTTATAAAATATATGCTTCTGAGATAGCATTTCAGTATAAGAATATATTTTTATAAAAATGGAAGGTTCAAATATCAACACAAAGTTCATAATTTAAGTGGAAATATAATATCACTGAGTTTTCTGTATCCAGATCACAACAGACTTAATGTCAGTTCATCTTTATATATGTAACTGTATATGTATATGTAACAAGGAGAGAAGCAAACTTATATTTTTAGCAAAAATTAACAGATGCCTCAATAAAATGATACGGCTTCTTTAATGAAATTAAATATCACTCTGTATCTTTCCTTCATGTTTCATGCAAATGTTAACCATTCCAAACTTTCCTTTACGGTCTTCAGTCAGATGACAGAAAGGCGGGAAAAGCGAAAGCCATTCAGGTGCATTGAAGTCAGTGTCAATTGTACGTCATTTTGAGACCGAGAAGCCTTACGATAAAACATTGGACTGCAGAAAATTTCAGACTGTTTCGCAAATGCTAGAAACTACGTAGTTCCTGAACGGTTTTCATAGCCATCCATTGATACATATGTACAAGTATATCTAGCGTTTTAATTCTTTTATTCTTCTGTTCCTTCTTCTTTTTTAATACTAATTTTTCTCTCTAACAAATTTCATGAGCATTCCAATTTATTATTACCTCATTTTTTTTGTTTTATTTTCTTATTTGGTAGTGCGGTGGAGCCCACTTCTTTTTTTTTTCTTTCGTTCTAAGCCTATTTATAGCTCCTCTTCGGTTATAACTTTATAATTCTTCTCATTCTTTTATCTATTTCTATGCTACGTTTCTTATTGATTTCTTATTCTTTGCTATCTAATACTGCCTGTTCTTCGTATTGACTCCTTTTATACCCGCTTGAAAGGTTCTTTTAAAACAGATCAAAAGTTTATGTAAAATGGGAAAGATTCTTTTTACATAAATTTTTAATCTGTCTGTCTTTTTACGTACAAGAATATCTGTATTAAAACGTGGTGTGACAAGATATTCGTACGAGATACTTATTTTAGATATTTAAAAATTTTAAAGAATTATATGCTAGTTAAACAAAAACAAACAACACAATTGTTTCAACAGTAATATATTGGTAAGCTCATTAACTTACTACAATCAACATGAAACTATGAATATTAATATTGGCCAACATAATAATTGGAAAAGCATTTATGGATAACAACTACATACATACTTTATCCATGAAATAACATGAAAATCTCTACTAAAATATGCTAGAACCTTAGCAAATCTTAAAATCTTCCAAAAGTTGCATAACCAAGGTAAGCGTAGTGTTAATAAAAGTTAGGAAAGTGAACTGTAAACAGTTACGTACTTAAAACCTTTACAAAAAAGTTATATATTATGCTGCAAGCGTCATTATACCACTGTTAATGGTAACAGTGAATTATAAATTTAAACGGCTAGCCGTAACTAAGTGTATGTTGCAGCGTAAAATTGTGATTTATACTGAGATCTGAAGTTGTAATGTAATTTTGTGTAAATAATATACCCATCTGTTAAGATCATTACAAATATTGTATACCTTATAATTATATAATCCACGTGTAATTACGTATTCAGTATGGAAATTTTTAACATTGTTGTAAAGAATATCTGTGAAATATCTTGTTAGGCCACCTTCTAGTGCAGGCGAACTGTGCGTCGAGTAGGTAGTGCGGTGGAGCCAATATCTGCTAAATCACCGACGAACTTCTGTTCTCCGTCCACTTTTCCCTGTTCCTGCGTTGATAAGCTTATACAGTATAAGTGAGAGATCAGGCTATATAAGATAACTATGAATAGAAAATACACTGCGTAATGATTTATTTCATGAAGTGGTAAAAGCCAGTACGGGGAAACGGTTAATCTGCCGATCTTCCTTAAGTGACATTATTACCTTTTTTTAAGAAAAAGAAAAGAAATCGTATATTATATTGTAGTCTTTATACATGCTAACGGCACTTCCTTATTTTCATGCAATGCTGCATCATGCATGTGGGTGTGTATATTGAGCGTGTTTAAGCATTCTGATATTCCGGAAAAAATTATAGGAGTTTATAGCATTTTCCTAGTTGTTGATGAGAAAATGAAGTATCGAAATTCAGGGTTTGACCATTTGAAGTAATAAAGTTTCTCTTGGTGCTAACTACATTTTGAACAATATATACTCCTCATTCTCTTTCTCTGCGTATATGTATATAGGGTGTTCATCATAAAATCCGCAAACGTCGATCAGATATTCTGCAACCAAAGATAAGCAAAACATGCCCTCTGGAAGTATACAGACAGAAATACAGTTTACGAGTTACGAGACGCTGAACACTAATCGCAATCGGATGCAAAGACAAGCTTGCTGTCAACTGCATCCCAAAATAAGCACACAAAAAAATTACTGGCAGTGCATTCAGTGGCCGAAGATGAACACAAAATGTCTTATGAGTACATTGCTGAAAACGTACATTTAACGAGATAAATTGAACATCAGTGAGAAACTGATGCGAAGGCTGAGGTGTGGTGTATTTAATTACGGCAAAGCACACTAGGGCTATCTGCCAAAGGGGAGGGATGCCTTTCGTGGAGGACTTTCTAAGGGAAACTGGCTCGTATACACGTTACACATGGGGAAAACACCCATGCAGCCAGCCCGTTCGCGGGATTCGAACCTCGGACCGAACTACCAGTGTTCAGCGACTTTACCGCTCGGCCGCTGGTGGGCGATGAGAAGGCTGAAAGTCACAAGATACTCAGTGGCCAGCGCCGTCTTAACATCATCATGGGCTCCTGGGCAAACCACTGTGCTGGGATCCCTACGACAACCATTTACAGAAAAGAAATGTGAATGGATAAGCATGGGGCCTGTATGCTCTTGGGGTACCCGGGCAAGTGCCCAGCGAGCTCACGGATTAAGACGGCCCTGCTAATGTCAAGAGAGTGCGGAAGCATGCTACTGATCTTCAAAGTCCCGTTAACTTATAAACTAAAAATAGAATATTCATAGGATTTCTTTCTTAACTTATTACTTTATTTTTGTTGATATGAATTTATATTATAAATATATTTG